TTCATAAGCAGTTATTGATTTAAATAAAGAATTTTTCATAAGTCAATTCTTACTTACTTGTTAACTTAATTGTTTTATTATTACACATAAAATAAGAGTTTGCCAAATAATAAAAATTTATTATCAACTTATTTCGTTTTGATACCGGATAAATTAATCCAAACATTTTTTTTTGTAAAACTTCGTTATTACACCGGATAAGCTAATAAATATTTTTACAAATAAATATAAATATAAATTGTTTTAATAAGCAATCCCAACTACCTGTGAATGTAACAAGAAACAATTGATGGTGAGAGATAGATTTTATTTTGTTTAATTGAATACCATATTTAGTTATGACTTTGTCTATAATTAATTTGTTGCCAATTCAGCGTGTCACTTTGTGTAGCAAATTAATTGGTATCGTCGATTAACATGATGGGATTTGTTAAAGATCTCTTATATAATTTTGATACGAAAAAATATTTACATTTGAAAAGATAAGTAAACGGTCAATTTCAGGTTTAACTTGTCGGGTCTTGCATTTAGTATTAGTATGACATTATTGTTATCTTAACAAACTTGACGTGAATTATACTTATTTATAGATATACTTTGTATTTCTAAAATTACTGGTCTTGATTTATGCACTAAAAAAAATTGTATATGGGCATGTTTTGTTAAAATAGTTGGTAGCGGATAGGTAGAAGATGGAAACTGATAGCTAATAGTGGAAAACTATAACTTTTTATTGTTATATTAATGTTTGATAAAAATAATTGTAAATTTTTTAAATGTATAAAACTAAATAAAAATATAATTGTTTAGAAAGGATAAATATATAAATATAAGTTTAAGCAACTTTGAAAATTGATTCAGAAACAGTAATTTTTTCTTAAACGCTACAACATTAATAACTTTTAGATTTAAAGCCTTTTTATTTAAATTAAATGGTAAAAACTCATACTTGCAAACAAAGTTTTTTGTTTAAATTGATTTTTTTTATTAAAAAATAAAAACTAACAAATCCAAAAACTTGGTGACAAACACACATTGGTTTTCAAAAACATATTCTAAAATTGATATAAAAAAATCAACAAGAAAAAGAAAATCATAAAGACCATTTATGAGGATAGATAAATATTGGAATTGATAAATTCCGAAAATAATTTCGTTCATATCATGTACTCGACGTGACGTGATTAACATATCTATATCATTAAAATCGATTTTTTTTAATTTTAAAATGACATTAAAAATAAATTGAATTGAAATAGATAATATAAAAGAAGGTGCAAAAGCGCAATTTGATGTTGGTTTGAAGATGCACCCAATTTTAGAGTACAAGCAACTATGTACGAGATACAAGTTGGTGATGAATGATTATATATTATAAATGGAATCTATGATGATAATATTAAAAATTGAGGAATATACTCCACCAATTAGCAATGACGATTTTACCCTACAAACGCCCTCGAATATTCGAATATATACCCACTTAAAAAACATAATATGTCTATTTTATTTTAGTTTATTTTATTTAACATGGTCCCAAATATTATTTTATATTATCTAATTTATTAAGAATATTTTATTCCCTTAAAACAACTAATATTTTTTCTTGCCCAAATAGCAATATTTAATTTGATATATAACAATGTTTAAAATTAGAACTATCTGTTAGTAGCTTCCAAAAAAATTGGATAATTCTAATATAATAAAATATAATTTATATTGCAAACTTTTGAATTGTACCTATGCACATTTACTCAAGCATTGTATAAAATAATTGTACACAATAAACTGTTATTTACTAGTATACATGACGTGTGTTTTGTTAAAATAAAATGTAATAAAAAGGAACTATAAATCATAATTTATTTATTGATCTTTTATAATATTGGTTGATAATAAATAAATAAAATTGTAATTAAACCGTCTAAAAACAAATTAAAAAAGGGTCCTTATAATAAAATACACTATTATATTTTATTGTGATGGAGACAACACTAAATAGATTATCCAATGGAGGTTTGTCTTTATGCATGGAAAATAAATTGATAGTGTAATATATGTGTACCCGTCGCCAAATTTACATCAAGATGCCACGTGTAATAAATTTTTGTACGGAGTTTTGGTATTTGGAATTGACACTATATTTGTTTTGTTTTTTTATTCCTTCAAATTTACGATATAATATGTGAATATTTTGCTTGCCAGGTGTTCAATTATTTTTACCAGATTAATGTTTTGCTTTTAATAGTATTAAACAAGTTAATTCATTTATCACGTTATTAATGAGGTTTGTTACTATATATATAAATTATGCTGTTAAAACTACAATAAGCATTACATAAGGGTACAACACTTCACATATTTTAATATAAATTTTAATATTTCATTATACAAAACTTTTACATAAAGAAAGTTAATTATTGGTTAACTAACATCAAATAATAACAAAAAAAAAGTATCAAGATCAAGTGATCAGCTTAGGTGCAACCAATACTAGTATTCGTGACACGACACACAAGTTTTATCATGTTAAAACTTTTTTTCAACAAAACAGATACATGAGCCTACGGTTTCACTGTGTTTAATCGCATTTGAGAATGAAGATTATCATCTCATATCTTCATATTAATATCACTGATATCTTATGTCGTTAAGTTTAGATTAAAATAACCATCAGCTTCTAACAAAAAAAAGAAAGGAAAAATACAATATTTGTAATAATAATACTCATTGATGTTCAATGTTTATGTGAAATTCTTAGTTTACTATCCAAATAGTCGTTGCGGGTAAATTATATATATATATATATATATATATATATATATATATATATATATATATATATATATCCGGTAAGAAGGAAATTTTTGGTAGAAGGTAAGAAGTTTTTTTCTATATATTTTTTTGACGAACAAAATAAATGAATCACTAGATGATTCATTTGTAAGATGATTCACAAGAAAAAATTCTCAAAAAACATCTTTATGATTCAGTTTTAAGTAAATTAAGAAAAAATTCACTTTTATGACAATTTTAGTGAATAACAACAAAATCATTGTATAAATGAATCATCGAGATGTTTTTTTGAGAATTTTTTATTGTGAATCATCTTACAAATGAATCATCTAATGATTCATTTTGTTTGTTCGCGAAAAAAATATGTAGAAAAAAAACTTCTTACCTTCCTACCAAAAATTTCCTCCTTATTTGATCTTGACTCTATAGATATATATATATATATATATATATATATATATATATATATATATATGGAAAACAAAAAACCCTAAAAATCATAAAAATGCATAAAAAATACTTAGAGATCACAAAACTTTTTTTTGAATTTTTTTTATAAAAAATCGCAGCTTTTTATTAAAATTCGCTGAAAAAAAAATACAAAATCAATTTTTTTTTTATAAAAAAAAATTCAAAATTTTTTTCAACGAATTTCTTTAAAAACCTACGATTTTTTCATAAAAAATATCAAAAAAAAAGTTTTGTGATCTCTAGGTATTTTTTTATGTATTTTTATGATTTTTAGGGTTTTTTTGTTTTCCAAATAACCCTTCCCTATATATATATATATATATATATATATATATATATATATATATATATATATATATATATATATATATATATATATATAATTCTAGGATCATGTTGCATCATTGTGAGATACATAAACACTTCACCTCTAGAGATAGAGGCTTGATGATAATACGTATGCATGTGTAAAGTCATAGGGGTGTTACACATCGGCTCTACTACTACGTAAGATATATGTATAGTTCAAAAAATGTCTTTTTAAAAGAGCTCATATAAAAAAGAGTAGGAACATCAAAATATATCGACACTTATAGATAGAGTTGCGCCTATTGTGTATACGATTTATCATTAAACTCACTCGAGTTGTTTAAAATCTACCATTGTGATCGAGTATTGTAGGTTAATGTTTTTTTTTTTTGTACACGATTTACCATTAAACCATGTCATATTCATCTTCTCCTACCAAAACCATCGACTCCCACCACAAGCGTCCACATCTCACCGACATCATTCACCTCCAGCAATAAATACAACATTCCATCACCACCATTTTCTACTGCCACAATCCATCTCCACCATTCATCACCAAGTAACTTATCTAAAATTAGCTTGAACCTATAGCAAAATCGATTCAAACTTACATTCAAACCTAAAAATCTATCAAAACCTTTAATCAGTTCAAACTAATATTCCGCCAATAAAATTGTATCATTTAACGGAAGTGGTTAATGGTGCACACAATTCAAGAAGAAAAAGGTAGGAGGAGGAAATGGGGTAGGGTGCTTTTCACGAAGCAACAGGAGATGCACGGGCGGAATTTTATTAGGGCGAGGGGGGATGTAGATGGAAAAGAACAATGAAAGGTGTGAGCGGCGGTAGGAAGAATGTGAAAGGTAATAAAAGAGCGGGCGGTTGTTTTCATTGGAGAGAAGGGTGAGACTAAGCAATTTGCAATGTTTTATAAAAAAAGTAATAATAATAACATGTAAAGTGGTATTTCTTTTTGTTCTTGGAATTGTGTTGGCTTGAAAAAATATCGAAAAATTTGATGATGAATTGTGTTGGCTTGAAAAAATATCGAAAAATTTGATGATGGCAATAAAAAGATGAAAATGATTAATAGGTATAGAAATAAATTTAAAGATAAATCGTATATGAAAATATAAGCTTAATGATTTTTCTTAAAAACATCAAGGGTGGGTTTAACTGTTTTTGAATCTATTTAACTAAATACGCAATAGCAAAGTCAAAATACTGATTTTGAACAACAAATATTATCAAAGATATATTTAATAGTAAATCCTATAAAAATATTGCTAAATGTGTACATAATTATAGTATTTCTTTACCATATAAAGTCATTTTCACAAAATAATGAAATATTAATAAAAAAAATCTTCTTGTTAAAATACGTTTTAAAATAAATTATAAACTTCAATGAGGTTTTATTATCTATCATATTCACGTGCACCCATTACTTGTAAAATTAGACCAAAATAATCTAACATTTTTCTATACTTTTACAGCATTCAACCGATCAGCAAGACGAAAGAGATCAAACAGGGAAAATGGCCTCCCTACAAAAATACCCTACACAAACTCCGAGTGGCTGTCAGAATGCCGGAATGTCAAAAAACTGGCGAGGCTGTGGTGGTGTGGGTGGAGGAGGAAGTTGACGGTGAATCTTCATGGCTGTGACCACCATCTTTTCACCGGAATTACTTTTGTTTAGGGACATAGATGCTTCTGGAAGAGACGGCGGATGAGAAGCAATGGGGGCATATACACCTTTGGAGTTGTTGGTTTCGCCGGAAGTTGGTGTTGAGGTGGCGGCCATGGTGGTGTATTCCGGTGGTGTCATCCATATTCCTCCGACCACCACAAATTGAGGTGTTTGTGGGTTGTTATTGTTATGGATTGTAGGTGTTGGCCTTCTTGTATGCAAACGATATTTCTGTAAAATTCATATACAATTTTTTAGAGGATGAATTATTAAAAAAAACAAATGTAAAGAAAATAAAAACAAAAATGCAAACCTGTAAATGGCTTTTAACTTCATCATTTGTGAGCCCATCAACCTTCATTAATTCCCGAATTTGTTTTGGTGTAGCAACTGTATTAAATAATAAAATAAAATAAAATTTCAAATTCAAGATAATTTAATTTATTTTTTTAATTAAAAAATGAATTTGTTTAATAAAATAACACCGACGACGACCTACCATGGGCGCCGCCGAGTTGTTGAAGAGAATGGAGGAAACGCCGATGTAACTCCGGCGACCAACACCTCCTTGCTTTCCTATTAGACTGTCCTTTATCTTCGCTTTTGCTTTCTCCACAACCACCGTTACCGCTGCCTGTCTCCGCCGTGGAACTGGCCGCCGCTGTAGGACCCGTGGCAGGTGCAGGTGATAATTTACCAGTTCCAGCCGCCGGAGCTGCGTCGGAGGTTTTTTCTTTCTTGAATGGATGAAAAGCGCCACAGCCATTTCTCGTAACCTCGACAACCGAAACTCTTTTGGGTGATAACTCCTGAAAATTGTGTAAAAATCCAATCTTTAACCAAAATTAATATTTCCAAAATGAAATTGTTGATAAATTACAAGTAATTACCACTGGATCTGGGGTTTGAATAGAGAGTTGAGCAGATCTAAGCCAATCGGATTTCTTAGAAGGAAATGATGATTTATCTTTGGTGGATATAACCTTGGGTTTATGATTAAATTGTTGTTGTTGTTGTTGATCATCTTCATCATGTGCAGATGAAGTTCTTTTCATGGGAATAAATTCCTCCAAAATTGGACCTTCACTTGATGTCTGCTCAGAACATTCAGATTGGCCATTGAAGTAATCAGTCGTCGTTCCAGACATTTGCTGTTTGCATCCATCAATTGCTGAAACCCAAATCATAAAATTTCAATCAAAAATTGATAAATTTCTATAACAACAAAACCCTAAACTCAAGAAACAAAAACCCATCTAGAAACTGTTGAAGACAAGATGCGAAAAATGGTGAAAATTTGCAAAATTTTCAAAACGTGAAAAAACAAAAACACAAACAATATTTAACATTAACCCATCAAGGATCTGTGCAGAAAAATGTCAAAAAAAACCATCATGAATTTACACAAAAATTTACAGAATAACTACAAATTTCTCTCTCTTTCTCTCTCTCACGAACGTATGAAACTGTGTGTAGTCCATTTCTGGGAAGATCGCCATTAACATACCTTGAGTAACAAGCTCAAGACAAAGAGGAAGCTCGCGTTCGAACACCTGAATCTTTCTGCGTTCCGATTCCAAAGCTTCCATATACTCTCGACATCTCTGCATTTTCTCTCCAAAATCACTCGAATTGTTGTGAAAAACCATTGAGTCGCTCCAAAAGTCACTCGGTTTTGATGAATCAAATCGACCCAAAATCTCTCTATCAAAGGGGCATTAAATGTAAGAGAAAATTTTGTCTGGGGGCATAGAGAGATCCGGTTTGAACGAGAATAAAAGGATCTAAAGAAGAATCAGAAAAGGGAATAAACTTGGCATACAAGATAATATACATATAAATAATTCTAGAGAGAGAAACAGTCTCTTTCCTTTTTCATTTTCATTTTTATTTTGTAAAATTTGGAGAAATCGAAGGTGTGTTGAAGAAGGTGTCGAAGTCGGGTCGTCGCGTACGAAAAGAATCTTTGATAATGGTTTTGTAGGGAAAGTCTATTCCAGATCAAGAATCTCTAAAAATCCATCAAAACTGCATAACAAACTTGTACATTGTGCATAGATGATTGTACGATAAGCTTTTTTGGACATGGAAAAGGTAGATATTTTGGGATGATAGAGAGAGAAAGTGAGGAGAGAGAAAGGGAAAGGAAGAAAGTTTGTTTGGGGGAGTGGTTTGAATATTCGAGAGTGATTCCTATCTGTGGGTTGGCAGTGACGTCACACATGGGTTGCAGATAAGATCAAATGCACATTCTCTATTCTCACCACATTACTTCCATTTCTTCTACTTTGGGCAATGTTTCCGAGTTTTAATACTAAATAGATATTCTAAGAAAGTTATAATTTTTAAATTATTTATACCTATTAGATAAAAAGTTATCTAGACTTTATTATTATATTTTATTTTAGTAATTACCTAAATAAAGTATTTTAATATAATTAATAATAACAAAATTTTATAAATTATATAATGTTAACTTAAAATAGTAGGTGTTATTCAAATAATCATCATAATCAAAATTAACAAATAATTAAGAATTAATAAATTATAAAAAATAAAAAATAAGAATAGATTAACTTAATATAAAAATTATTATTTTATAGTTATTATTCATAACATAATAACTTTTACCAACATATATTTTTGTCAAAAAAATTTATATAATTTTAACATGTATAATATACAAACATTTACATATTGATTATTAAAATTTACTCAAGAGTGATTCCTACATATATTGATTATTAACTTTTACCAACATATATTTTTGTTAAAACATTTATGTTGTTTTGGTATGGTATAGCGTGTTTTTAAAATTTACTCAAAAAACTTATTGGTCATTCAAAAAATAACTAGTCAAAAGTTATATTTAATGATTAAAATGCCACATTTGTTTTGGTATGTTTTAGTGTAGATTTTCTGTCTTGGAACTCGAGACATTTTGTAATGAGAAATTAATTATCCTCCTAATTTTATTCCTACATATCTTCCTATCCATTTGAAATGATGACAAGTATATTAAAATATTATTAATCTTATCCAAATATAACACATGTCACTATTACACATTGGTAGGAAGATAAGTATGATGAAATTGTAGGAGAATATTTAAGTTCTCGTTTGTGATTTATGTAAAGACTAAATAACATCAATGGTCCATGTAGGTTAGTAACTTCGTACTTTTGATCTAACTTTTGAATAATTTTCCATCTTTATGGCTTTTAAATATTATGGTTTTAGTCCTTTATCTATCTAAAATAAATATATTGCTCTTCTACAATTTCTTTTATCACTATTTTAATCCCTATTTAATAATATGTTATTATTTTAATATAATGAACCCCCATCCACGCCACATCTATCTAAAAACCCAACCTCACCCCCTTCATATCGTCTTTTTACCTATCTATCTTCGTTCTTCATCATCCTGCCCTCTTCATAGTCTTTAACGACAAAATAAAAACCCAAATCTCTTACGACCAAAAACCACAATCATATTTACAAGTTTTGATGCATTTGGATATTGAGTATGATCTTTGACTCCTTAACCTTAATATAAAGTTGACTTATACAATAATTATACATAAAAGGTAGGAAAGTTCTCTTGTATACAGATTTCCCCCAGCACAGATTTAGGAGCCTTAATGTTTAGTCTAGTATTGTAAAAAGAAAAAAAGAAAAAAAGAAGAAGTGGTTAGGAGAGAACAAGAATGATGGATTCCCATGAGGACATCCTGATTGATTCAATCAACAAAGTGAATATTGAGAGCCAAACAGAGTCTGGCCCATATCTCAGTCCCAATATAGTTGTGATGACTTTCTAGGTTACAAAAACAATGTACTAGTGGAATTTCATATAAACATTTATGGGTATATGCAACCTAGATGGATATATGACATTTTCACTATTATGGCAACATACTTTATGAAACAAAACTTCTAACCCTGTTGTAATCGAAAATTACAAGTAAGAAAACATAAATTTGCTTAAATTGAATTAAGCTAAACAAGTCTTCTTGAAATCTCCTTGGAAAGTTTAGCTCCAATAGTGTGGTAGTCTCTAATGTGTCACACCCAAACCCTAAGAAACCCTATGATCAGTACTTAGGAGAGAGAGGAGAGGAGAAATGTTGATTTATGCTTATGAAAGGCTTAGGATCGGTTTTCTAAGGGATTAGGCCCCTGTATATAGCTGACAATAGATAATCCCTGAAACCCTATATTTGAATTAAAATAATAATATTTTATCCCAATACATATCTAGCTTCCTCATCTATCTTCTTCACAGGGACGAAGCTTATGTAGGGCTAGGAGGGGCTGTGCCCCCCCTGTTTCTTTTTTCATAACTAACCCTTAACTATTAAATTTTTTACATATTAAGCCTAAAACTAGAAATTTTGACTTTGGCCCCCCCTATTCCTCAATTTTTATACATATTTTATTTTCGCCCCCCCCCCCCCCAAATCAACACTTCAAGCTCCGTCACTGCTTCTTCATACAATCTTTATATCCACATGTTCGTATTTAAGTCTACTATAACTTTCGTTTAGATTACACCCGTTAAAAATTAATATATTTTTAATTACGATCTTTATATACATGTTTTCTGTATGAATATATGTATGAATATTTTCTTATAAAATCTTATGTAAAAATGTATTACTTTTTAACATGAGTAATATAAGTTGTTTGGTTGCTTAGGTCTTATATTTTGAACGTCATAACTTCTTTATATGATCTCATATTTTAACGATATTACATTCATGCGCTCACATTTAAGTCTACTACAACTTTCGTTTAGATTACTGCTATTAAAATTTAATATATTTGTACTTACAATCTTTATATTCATGCGTTCTTTATGAATGTATATATGAACATTTTTTTATAAACATAAGTAAAAATATATTACTTTTTAACGGGAGTAATCTTAAATGAAAATTGTAGTAGACTCAAATACGAACACATAGATATAAAGATCGTTAAAATTCGAGATCGTATGAAGAAGTTACGACATTTAGAACACAAGACCTAAGCATCAAACAATCGAGGCCGTGTTGGCTATAAGCATGAACGGTTTCGAACATCTCATTAATGATTGTCCCCATGTATGATGCCTTCAAACAAACCTAAAGAAATTGTTCATAAGTACTGAATATGTAAAAAAAAAGACTTATTTTGCAACAAAAAAATATTAGAACTAAACATACAAAAAATATTAAGAAATAAATGTGTACAAAGTGAAAAATATATTATTCTATTAAGTCATTTTTTTCGGCTTATCTGAAATAGTCGATTATTAGGATTGAATGTGTACAATTAAACAAGTTGAAAGACAAATATTAACGAAAAAAACTCAATAATCAAACATGTATAAATCAAAAAATATTTTACGTTACGTATTAACAATCAATAGTCCTTAATTTATGTAAACCTTATCAACTATTTTTTAGATTCTAATTTTGAAAATATCAATTATAAGGTTGTACGGTACAACCTAATGTAGTATGAAGTTGTGTTAGAAAAGTAAACGAGATTCCGAGTCCGGATTTTGGAATATCTCTTCTTGGAGTGGGTTGAGCATCACTAATCACGAGAACGAAAAGATACAAACCAAAAATTTAAGAAATTTCTTTATATTTATTTGGCTGGAGGCGCATGGTACGACACGTGCCCCAACGTCGCGTTTAATTATCGTTAGGTCCCTATCAATTCATGTTTGGCTTTTCGGGACCTCCAAAGGGCCATCTCCCTACGCTGTCGCTTTTTCACGTCTTCTTCCGTTTTCTACCCACCTCTCACCATATTCGCGTGGACCTACGCGCCGCTGGCTTCTCGAATCTATTGCGGCCCTTTCCCGTTGTTTCCGGAAGAACAGAGAAAAATCCAACGTAGCCAATTGTTTAGTATTAGGGTAAATTACAAGAATGGTCCCTTTGATTTGATATATCTTGTACTTTGGCACTTTACTTTTTTTTTATAACTTTTTTAACAGCCCATAAAATTTTATTTTGTCATGGTCCCTACCTATGTATAAAGACATTTTATCCTAGAGTTGGTAAAATCGATCCAACCCATCAATCCAACCCGAACACAACCCAAAATTAGCAGGTTGGATTGGAATTTTCAACTCATTTAGGATAAATGGGTCAACCTGTCTAACCCATTTAATTAAATAGTGTTTTTGTTAGATTTTGATGGTTTTTTTTTTCTTTTTAGGTTTTGAAGAGTTTGTCATTCATGTGGAGAAGAAAGAAAATATGGAGAACAAGAGTGTCTTATAGTAGAATGTATTCCGCCAGAATGTACAAAACGAATCTTAACAGTATTATTCTTTCAGAATGAATTAGTGTTTTTTGTTGGATTTTGATGTTTTTGTTGCATTTGTGATAGGAATGGCTTGAAGACCTTATAGGAATGACGTGAATAATGAATCAAAGATTGATCACACTCACAATTTAAGAATGTTGTTGTTTTACAAGAATTACACTTGTTATTCTTTCAGAATGTTGTTATTATTCAAGAATGTTCTTTTTGTATCACAGTCATAAAATGTAATTATTTGATATATTATTAGTTCACGAATCGATCTTGTATATTGTTTCATAATATATTTATTCATGTTTTCTTCTTATTTATGTATTCTTAAAAGAACTCATAAACTGTTATTCTAACAGAATGTTATTCAATAGAATTTCATTCTAACATAATCGCATTCTGACAGAATAAAATAGGTTATAATCGGTTATGATTCCAAATTAAATTAGAATTGAAATTGAATTAATTTTAAAAAAAATCAGAATTATTCCATAAAATTCAAAATTTTCATTTTTTAAATATAGTTAATTGTCTAAAATACCCTTTTAATTAAATTTGAGTGATA